CAAAACCTGTTCTAGTGAAGTAAAGAGGGATGGGGACACAACAGAACCTCATCAGTGAACACTTTCAAAGAAGCTTATGGCTGTATGACCCAAGTGTGAAAAATCACTGTCTTAGATTAGTGGTTCTCAAGGCTCCTAGAAGTCCCCAAGACCTTCTTCAGGGGGCCCATGAAGTAAAAGCTACTTTTATAATAATCCTAAGACATTATCTGTCTCTTTGAAAAAACTGTGCTGGGATGTCCCTAGTGGTCCAGTGGTTGAGACTCTGTGCTGATAATGCAGGGGGTGCAGATTTGATCCCTGAACAAGGAACTAAAATCCCACATGCCCCACGGCCAAAAGATTACCAAAATAAAAAAACTGTGCTGACCTCTCACCTAATGGTATATAAAACTGCTAGAACTGAACACAAAACAAAACAATGGCCCCAAACTGTAGTCACTGGATTCTTCACTGCCACTCACTCACAGCACACATAAAAATCTACTTTCACTTGAATGTCCTTGATAGAGCAGTAAATTATTTACTGTATTAACTCAACATTTCAGGGCACATCTTTTCAATATTGTGTGTGATTATTCTGGGAGATGAAGTGGGAAATACTCAAAAGCACTTCTACATGTTAAACTACAAGGGCTGCCCCAACAAAAAAAAGATGAGTGAATACAAAGCGGAACCAAGAGGTTATTTTCATTTCAAAGAATAAACGAAAAACTATGTTTACTTAGATTTGAAGCAAAAACTGGAATCTTGAAAACCTGTGTACACCACTATGAGCTTGTTAGCTTCCCAATTTTTAAAAAGACTTACCTGATGAAATGTGTGGAAACAGGAGCAACCGTAAATCTGTCAACATTTGGAAGAGCTGCATGACTCAGTGAATCAATGATTCCCCTGTTGTTGTTTAGTCCCTAAGTCATATATGACTCTCGTGCAAGTCCATGGACTGTAACCTGCCAGTCTCCTCTGTCCATGAGACTTCCCAGGTAAGAATACTAGAGTGGGTTGCCATTTCCTTCTCCAAGGGACCTTCCTGACCCAGGATTGAACCCGCATCTCCTGCATTGGCAGGCAGATTCTTTACCACTGAGCCACCTGGGAAGCTCAATAATTCCTAATGACCAATATATGATATCATAAAATCATGCTCAGGTGGCTTCCCCGGTGGTCCAGTGGGTAGGAATCGGCCTGTTAATGGAGAGGATATGAGTTCGAGCCCTGATCCAGGAAGACCACACATGCCATGGGGCAACTACACCTCATCGGCCATAACTACAGAAGCTGGAGTGTCCCAGAGCCTATGCAGGCAACTGCAGTGCAGTCCCTGCTCACCGCAAATAGAGAAAGCCGGAGGGCAGCAAGGAAGACCCAGCGCAGCCAAAAATAAATAAATACAAATTTAAAAATAAAAATAAACACTGATTGTGAATTAAAAAAAAAATCATGCTCAGATAAACACCCATTCAAAGTGCAAGACAGACCAATGAATTTTAACATGAGCATTGTACACAAGTTCAGTGATACGGTTTCAGGTTTGAGTGTAGTGTCAAAGGAGAAATCTACAATTATGTGAAAAGGCTATTAAAGCACCTTTTCCAGGACTTCCCAGATGGTCCAATGGTTAAGACTCCACGCTCCCAAAGTAGGGGGCACAGGTTTGATCCCTGGTCAGGGAGCTAAGGTCCCACAGGCTGCCCAGTGCAGCCAATAAATAAATAAAATAATAAACCATTCCTATGTATCTGTATGAGGCTGGATTTCCTTCACGTACTTCAACTAAAATAACATACCAACCATGTGAATGCATAAAATCTGCAAACTCAGTGGTCTTCTGTTAAGCCAGACATTAAAAGGATTTGCAAAAATGCAAAACAATGCCACTTTTATCACTAAATTTTTTAGTAACTTTTCATAAAGTTTTTATATTAGCAAAATAATTTATTATTTAAATAAATCTTTTCAAAATTGGTCTGTTTCTAGTAAATATTAAGCCACATAAACAAAAGCTGTTCGGAGTCTGCAATGATTAAAGTATAAAGTAGTCCCAAGACCTCAAACTTGAACTGTTAGAGCCCCCTTCTAATCATCTGACTCCAGTTTCACATTTTCCAACTCACCCTACTACCTCCCAGCTTCAGTCTTAGGACCAGATACAGCATCCCATTTAATTGTATCAATTCAAGTACAAGCTCTTTTGCCTTCTTCCACAAAAAATGTAATAAATATTGCTCTATTTACCCAATGACCTATCCCCTTTCAAACAGGACTCTTTAATTTCTCCTATCCCAGAGAAAGGGAGGCTACCACAGACATGAAAAGAGAAACTAAAGAAAGCAACTCCAGTACTCTTTTCAGCTTCCCATCCCAGATTTTGACAACTTAAGGGTTTTCAAGGATATCTTAACCAAATGCAACTTATTAGCTGACTCCACAAACATAGACAAAGTATGATAAAGGTAAGATTTTTTTATTGAAATATTGGGAACATTCTCTGTAAAGCAGCAGTCTCACCGAGAGGCAGTTTTGCCTCCCAAGTAACATTTGACAATGTTTGAAGACATTCTTGATGGTTAAATCTTGGGGAGGGGTGTTATGAGTATCTCATGGGTAAAATACACAAATGAAAAATACTTAGCTTCAATTCTAAACACAGAGAATGTGCCAAATTCTCAAGAAACAGTGTTTATATACTTTGTCTCTAATACCTATTGTTAAATCTCTAAATATCTTATTCCCTTAAGCTTTGAACAGATTGCATAATTATAGACGTACTCTTTATTTACTGGAAATTTAACATCAGTATTACCCCCTACTTCCTAAGGTTACTTGCTACTATAAAAATAGCACAATGAAGTAACATTTCCAAGCTATGAATTTGGTTCCCTAAGGGTTGTGCTTGTTATTAGCTATCTAGGAGCAAGTGGACACGAATAGTCAGGTATCAAAGTACAACATATCACACAAATGGTATGGGTCCTCCTATCTGGGCCTGGTATTTCAGGAGTACACAAATACCTAGCCTCTTTATAGACTATTTTTAGGCTTAACTCCTCCAATTTGTTTATCCTTCCAGGCAAGCACACTTACTGGAGGGCTACTATGTGAAAAGCAAACTGAATACAAGACAAAAATTTTTTTTACCAGTCTAATAAAAAGACACAGCTGAAATACAAAATGACTGGTGTCATAAACAGAAGTATCAAATAAGTGTTACAGAAGGCTGCAGGGGAAAGAATGCCAGGAGACGCGTCCCAGAAGAGAAAATGCCACAGAAAACACATCCTGTTCACCTCTTAATATCAAGACTACAATTCTCTTCTGCTCTCAAACACTACATTTCTCAATTTTTGCTTCGTCATCAAAACAAGAGGAAAGTGGGGAGTCAAAAAAACTAAATTTATCAAAAGTATTTCCCAGGACCTCCTTCCTGTCCAACTTCTGGTTTGTCTTCTATATATCCAAACTTCTTCAACAAGTTCCAAACACACCATCTGTCATAACAAGTGTTTCTTTCTCAATTTATAAGACTATCACAGGGAATGATCACTGCTCTCCTTTCTTCCTTAGCTTCTTCTCCCAAAATAGTTTAATCTTCTCACTGTATTCTATTAGTTCTCGAATTCAGATAGTTTAATTTTCTCACCTTATCCTATTAGTTTTCGAATTCGGTAAGAGAGGAGTTATGAGTTCCAAGAAACCAGAAGTACCAAATGACTGCTGTCTATCTTTCTAAGTCTTGTCCATATTTCCTGTTTTCTATTTCAACTCTACTGTAGCTCACTAACTGGACCCTTTCTTCTGAATCCTCAGCAGCTGACACAAATAAAAATTTCAGACCCAGATCAGGAAACTAGCCACTGACATGTAGCCTTATCAATTCATTCCCAATACATGATACCCCTGATGTTCTTCAACTTTTAAGTTTAGTTCTCATGGTCTAGGCTAGGGTTCCACTAACGAAGTATTTGCCTTACGCTGAACTGGGCGGGTAGCAACCAAATCGAAAACAAACGATACTGAAAACTAGGTTTCTGTTTCCAACTACTCAATGTCACCATCTTAACCCCTCCACTTTTCTAAAGGGAATCCCTCAGTAATGGGGGGCTAGAACGCCCAGGGAGGGCAGTATAGTAGAAAAATTTCTGGCTTTTTCTAGTACTGTTTCTTCTCTGGGCCTCAGCTTCTCCACCTATGAAACCTGCACATGATATGGGGTAGGGGAATTGACTTAATTTCCAAGGTCCTTATGGCTAGAGTAAGTAATCCAGAAACCTCACCGTTTCTCATCTAGCTTTATGTGGGACACGTGGGAGAACAAAAAGTAAGGTTTCACTCCATTAAATGACCTTAATTTTCTCAGATACAGTTTTAATAAGCTCACAAACTCCCGACCCACTCACCCTCCCCTGGGGTTGCAAATCTCTCCTTGGAGAAGCCAAAACAAATAAAGCCCAATCCCGCACGATGATCAGGGAAGTGCTGAGGAAACCGTCCCTCAGGGTTTCAAGGCGCTGCTCCCGCAAAGGGCCTGCCCACCTAATCACTGCCGGGCAAATGAATGAGTACAACCTGCTAGAGAAACGCTCACTCAAGGGAGGCTTTAACGTGAGATCCCCGGGCCCAGACCCCACAGAGAGCAATCCCTCCTCAGGGCCTGAAGGGCCAGGCCTCGGGGCCCGCAAGTGGCGGGCCCCGCCCCCTCCCTCAGGGCAGAAGGTGCGCGCTAGGGCGCGAGACTCGGGCGCGGAGAGGGCCTGGGACGCCCCGCGCACCCACCCTCCCAGAGTAGAGTAGGAGCCTGCTGGTCTCAGGCCTCCACCACCCCGGCCCCCGACTTACCGCGGTGCGGTGGGGGAGGGAAACTGTCAGGAGTGAGGGTCTAGGCCGGACCACCACCCGCCGCTCAGAGAGCAGCGCGCGGCCGCCACGAAACCGTCGCCGCCGTCGCCAGCACCGATACCGACCGCCGCTCCGGGCGCAGCGCGTAGAGGGCCCGACTGCGTCACACGCCGCCCGCCGTCAGAGGCTCGCTGCGAGAGCTCCGCCCTCGCTGTCTGTGCATTGGCAGACGCCGCCGCCACTCTACGTCCGCCTTGTTATTCATTGGACCACGGGTCTTTTGAAACCGAACGTGAGGGTTGTCTTTGGGAGACTAGGAGAGGGGGAAGAGGCGGGACCGAAGGATTAGGGGGAGGAAAGGGGAGGGGTGGTGAGGAGGGACCTGGAGTGCCGCCCCTCGTCGCCGCGGTTGGCTGGGAGAGAGTAGTGACGTCACACAGGGCCCCTCGACGTGGGCTGGTGAGTGGCTACATCGGGCGGGAGGTGGGTAAGAGTGATGACGCTATGTCGAGGCTCCGCCCCCTTCTTTGGAGCGGAGACACCCAGACTGCTGAGACTCGGGCCAATCAGAGTGAAGCTCCAGGATGGCATGGTAACTGTTTTATTCTTCCATTGCCTCAGTCCGCGGGTGGTCATGGGAAAGTTCTCCTGTCGTCCGGCCCTCATTTCCTGGCCAGACCACGTGTGGAGCTGGAGGGCCCGCCTAGGAGGTCTATCTGCGTAGCTCGTCTGCAGCTGCTCCAAGGCCTCCTAACCTGGCTTTCTTGTCTCCTGACCTATACCAGCCCAACATAACCTCTCCCTCTCTGAATCCGTAGAATAGACTTTGGGAGTGTTAGTGATGCCCTAAGGGAATGGCTCAGCTTAGGGTTTGGTACAAATGACAATTCTTGGGGCTTCTTTCCCACCTGCACTTCAGGAACCCCTGAAGTTCTAATTGAAATGTTCCCGCCTCCTCTGGGATACCTTTGTGGATCAATCTTTCCCAGAGACTTGGGCTGATGCTTGGGCAAGCGTCTGTTACAGCTTTGTTGCTTAGTATTCTGTTACTTTCTTATCTTCAGGGCAGGGCTCTTGGAGGTTAGAGCTTCATTTTCAAATTGGTGTTCCTTTCCCCCAGGGTTAGCCCAGAGCAGGAGTCTGATTATCTCAAAGGGGTGAGTTGAACATGTAATGGAAACTAGATCTAGTGACTAAGTGAAAGATGAAAGTCACTCAGTCTGACTCTGTGACCCCATGAACTATACAGTTCATGGAATTCTCCAGGCTGGAATATTGGAGTGGGTAGCCTTTCCCTTCTCCAGGGGATCTTCCCAACCCAGGGATCGAACCCATGTATTCTGCATCGCAGGTGGATTCTTTACCAGCTGAGCCACAAGGGAAGCCCCAAGTGACTAAGCGTTCCACACAAAATAGCAGATACTGTGCTCAGAAAGCAAAACCTATTAGGATTACCACTTCACCACCCCCTCCTCCGGGAACATTAATAGAAGATTGAAATAAGCTCTACCCAAAACATGGATAAAGTTAAATACGGGGTTTTCAGTGGTGGCAAGGGATTAGAGATACTTAAAAAGTGGAGTGGTTGTGAAGATAAGATAATGGGTGGAAGAAACCTAGTTGTAGTTGTTCAGTAGATGCTTGAAGGAGGAAAAAAGTAAATATATGGATGGTCAAATAGTAAAGCTAAACTTCCAACTCCAGACACCTTCCCCTGACTCCTCCATCAAAGTATTACTCCTTTATCCTCCACCCTCCCTTGCCTGTGCTCAGCATCAGAAAGTCATTAGGTCTCCCTGGAGGGTTACAGCAACTTCCTTACTGCCCTCCTGAATCTTTGATTTCTCACTTTCCAGTCCTCAAACCCAACTCTGTTTAAGCCTCTCCTCTACTTACTTATTTTGATGACCCTGAGGCCAGGTGCACATTAAATGTTTGATGCAGAAATGAGTGAATTACTTTACTTTATTAAGTATGGGATTTTTGAGTCAGAGAACCCTGCCTTTAAATCTGAGCCCAACCATATATTAGCTGTATGAACTTGGGGAAATTTCTTAACCCTTCTGAACCTCAGTTTCCTTGTCTGTAAAATGGGGATAATAACAGTACTTGCCTTACAGAGTTGTGAGAATTAAATGAAATAAGGCATATGGTACCAGGTACTCCAGTACCCTCAATAAATAGTAGGTATTATTTGTATTCTTTAAAAAGGTTAAGAAATTCTCATTCTAAGACATGGACTCTGACACAGACAAGAAGCTCAGAAATATGCCTTATGTGGGTGAGTATTTCAGTCCAGAGTATTAGCAGGTGTGTAGGAGCTGAGCCTCTTAAGTAGTGTATACTTACCGGAAGACTAGAGGAGGAGATATTGGACAAGAAATGCTCCAGAATGAATTTCCTATCACCATGGTGACTTCTAAGTAGAAGAACCTCTTGTTACATACTCTGGTAGGCATGTGGCCCACAGGCTTATCATTCCCAGGGACTTCTGCCCCAGGAAGGACTTCTTTCTGGGCCAAGGCTTCCTGGGTCCACATACTCTTACTCTGCCTAATTCTGATAACACCCCTTTTGATTGTCATCATCTTCCTTCTTCCCCTGTAAAGCCAAGGAGTTTGGCGCATGTTCACAAAAGTTTGCAGGTTTTGTCCTGCGTATCAGGAGCTCAGAGATGTCCCCTGCTCAACACTGCCCTGACCAAGAGAGACAAAGCTAAGTAAAATCCATTCTATCCTAGGAGCTCCCAGTCTCTCTTACACACATCCTGAGAACTCACTCTATGCAGCTCTCCAGGGAGGAGACAGACCTGTAAGGACTAAAGAATCATGAAAGAGCAAGAGACTTACTTCCAGCGAGATGATTTTCCATTTCTTATACGGTATATTGGGAAGAGCAGCAGAGTTAGATTCAAACAGATGTAAGTTCACGTCCTAGATCTGCTACTTTTTAGATCCTGCACAAATTATTTAATTATTCTATATCCCAGTTTCCTTGTCTGTAAAATGGGCACAACAATATCAAATCTGATCATAGAATTTGCAAAGGATTGGTCCCCTGTGTGGCACATAGTAAGCATACAGTAAATGTTGATTTCCTTTTTCTTTTCCTATAACTTGATAAGGAAGAGTGATGTTTATAAATGGGATATAACTAGATTTATCAATATATAAATCTTTTGTGAATATCTTTGACTTTTAACTAGAGCATTTAATCAATTGCATTTAATGAATTTACTGGTATACTTACTGATTTTATCTAACATTTTAGGCTTTCTCTTTCCTCCATATGTTCTGTTTCTGTTTCTCTTCTTTTTAAAATCTATTTAAAAAATATTTTTTCTTTGGTAAGAATAACTGCCATTTACTGAGGCCCAGCTCTTTGCCAGATTTTTTAAATTGAGATAATTAATAATTAAATTGAGATAATTAATTTTCATAATATAGCATTCACCCATTTTAAGTGTACAATTCAGAGGGCTTTAGTATATTTGCAAGGTTGTGCAAACACCACCACTATATAATTCCAAAACATTTTAATAATCCCAAAAAGAAACCCCAGACCCATTAGCAATAATGTCCCATCTCCCTTTCCTCCCAGCTTCTGGCAATTTACTAATCTACTTTCTTTCTCAATGTATTTGCCTATTCTGGACATTTCATATAAATGGAATCATAAAATACATGGCCTTTGTGTCTGACTTCTTTCACTTAGCATAATGTTTTCAAGGTTCATCCAAGTTGTAGCATGCATCAGTACTTCATTCCTTTTTATAAGTAGGATAATATTCCATTTTATGAATAAACCATATTTTGTTTATGCATTCATGAATTGTTTCCACCATAAATAATGATTATTCCACTATGAATAATACTGATATGGACATTCTTGGACAAGTTTCTTGTGAACATGTGTTTTTAATTCTCTTGTGTTTATACCTAGGAGTAAATTTGCTATAGGGTCATCTAGTAACTCTATGTTTAACTTCTTAAGGAACTGCCAAACTGTTTTCCAAGTGGCTGTACCATTTTACATTCCTGCCAGCGATGTATGAGGGTTTTAATCTGTCCACATCTTTGCCAATACTTGTAATTTTCTTTTTTCTTCCTTTTTTAAAATAAAATTATAGCAGTGCTAGAGGGTGTGAAGGAGAAGGAAATGGCAACCCACTCCAGTGTTCTTGCCTGGAGAATCCCAGGGATGGGGGAGCCTGGTGGGCTGCCATCTATGGGGTCGCACAGAGTCGGACATGACTGAAGCGACTTAGCAGCAGCAGAGGGTGTGAAATGACATCTCACTGTGGGGTTTTCTTAATACATTTCCCTAATGACTAATGATGTTGACCTTCTTTTCATGTGCTTATTGTCTACTTAAATCTCTTTTCTTGCAGTCTTGGATTATTTCATTTTTCTTCCTGCATCAGTTTGGAAATTAAATTATTTTTCTATTATTTTAGTGATAGTCTTAGAAGTTACCACATGCATTTCTCACTTACTAAGGTGTCATGCTAATCAATACCTTTATAGGAAGGGTAGACTTTGCTGAGACAAGGAAAAGATGAATTCCAGGCCAGATGAACAGGGAGAACAGAGATGTGGAACCAGAAAAGAGCCCAGTGTATCCATGGGTTCAAACTGGAACTTCATCTTAGAAGTGATAGGAGCTAAAGAATGTTCTGCAGAATAATGAAGATGTAATTGCTATCTGAGGCAGAGTGGAGCTAGAGCAAGATGGGTGAGCTTAGAGTGAGTAGTTTAAAGCCATCCAAGAAAGATGTCTCTGCCATGAAAAAATTTCTAAGAACAAAGAACACTCCTCTTCAACCCAGGAAGACTTTCCTGGGGTTGCCCAGGAGGCAGGGCAGAGTTTGGCCTGATGTGGCCAGATGCTTTCACACTGCCTCTGTCTCTGCTACTTCACCTATCTCCAAGCCATGCCCCCTCTGCCTCCACCCTCTATCCCCAGCAGTCATTCTTCAGCCTTTCTTGCAGTTCCTAAATCTCTTCTTGACATATCTAAATTCTGCCCATCCTTCAAAATCCAGTTCAATTAAATCAATCCAGCAAATGTTTTCTGGGCTCCTACTGTATGCCTGTCCTGAACTGAGCTGAGAGATTCAGAAATAAATGAAACAGGTGGAGGTTCTGTCCTTAAATGAGCTCCCAAGAAGATGGAGGGAATAGGCAGCAAATTATTTTGCTTTATCGTGGTCAGAGCCCTAATAAGGGTGTGATGGAAAGCTATCAGAGACTGCCTGTGGAGTGGGAGATGGGCAGATCATGGGGATAGGGAGAGATAAGGAGAAAGTTAAGCAGAGCTCCATGTAAGAGGTGAGTATAGTTAAAATACGTGGGTGCTGGAACAGAGGATGACCAGATTATGAAAGATGTTGAATATTGCACTAAGGAGTTTGCCCTAGATCCTAAAGGGCATGTGTATGTGCATGCTGAGTCACTTCAGTTGTGTCCCACTCTTTGTGACCCTATAGACCCCACTAGGCTTCTCTGTCCATGGGATTCTTTGGGCAAGAATACTGGAGGGGGTTGCCATGCCTTCCTCCAGGGGATCTTCCAGACCCAAGGATTGAACCTGCATCTCTTACGTCTCCTGCATTGGCAGGCAGGTTCTTTACTACTAGTGCCACCTGGGAAGCCCCCAAAGCAGTGAGGATTTACTAATTTGCTGCAGGGGCCAGATGTGATCAGCTCTCTGTCATTAAAAGAACCAATGTGACTGTAAAGGGGAAGATAGTGGAGAGGTGGGAGGGTAGTGAAGGAGATCTACAGGGAGCATTCCTCGACAACTACATCCCACCTTCACTTCGCCTGTTCTGCACCCCCACCCCCCACCTCTGCACCACCCCATGCTCCTGGAACAACCCTGAAAACAAATTCTCAGACAGCTTGGAATATCTGGTATGCGTATGTGCAAAGGGGATTGGAGCGGTGATCATGGCTAAGGCCTTAAAGATGGTGGTGGTGTTTCAGGCACAGGTCTCCTTGGGGTGTGTCTAGGCACCAGGCAAACCAACCGGGAGGTCAGGAGACAGTGGAAAGCTTCAACAACAGCAGCAGCTGTTTGGACAATGGACAGATGCCAGTTCAGCAAACTCTGGGTGCCTTCTGAGTAAGGGTCGGACTAGCTGCTTAGATGCTTGTTCAAATTCTTTCTCTGTAAAATGGCTTTCATCAAACTTAGCTCACCAGATTATTAAGAATATCAACTAAGAGAATGCATATGAAATCCCTGGCACATAGTAAGAACTTATCTTTTTCTTCCACTTTTCCTCGTATAAATCAAGTAGGAGTCAGTCTTTCAAACTGACAATGGAAGAAACAGATTCAGAGAGGATCAGTGACTGCTGAGGTCAGACAATTCAGAAAAGGCTCCATCAGGACAAGTTCCGGCTGTAGCTGACACATCTAGCTGTAGTTAACGTGGTATATTAAGTACCTTCCACATACCTGGCATGTATATTATCTAATTCTTACAACAACCCTATAATGTGGATATTCCTAAAACCATTTTACAGATGAGGAAACTGAGACTCAGGACTGTATGATGGGGAATTGCCCAAATCACCAGATAATTAAAGGCCAATTAGAGTGCCTCAAGTTTCAGGCATTAGAGGTAGTCTAGAGGCAGGGAGAAAGGACCCAGCCCCAGGGAATAGTACTTAGAGCCAAAAGAACGGATAAGGGGTTAAGACAGAAAGCAAGGGCCAGGAGCAGGCACGTGTGGGTTGGAGCTAGACAAGGAGGGTGACAGGAAGCCCCAAGGAAGAAAACCTAAATCCTTTTCAAAATTAAATAGGAGTCGTTCTTTCAGTAAAGTTTTACTAATTGCTCGCTTGCCCTGGGACCTTAAAGGACAGGGTTGGGGAGAACTCAAGTCAAGAAAAGTAGTTTTTAATAAGACACCTTCCTTGTAGATTGAAGCCCCCAGGAGTGAGCAGGATATCTCTGGGTCCCCCACCACTGCCCAGCTCAGGGCCTGCACAGAGAGGGCCTAGACTGAGTAAATGAACAAGACTGAATGTACACAAAAGGGCTCTGGCAAGTTAATCAAACCTGGGCCTCTGTTTCCCCTTCTACAAAGTGATTATGATAGCTACCTTGTGGGATTAACAGTATATAGTGATTAAGGGAATGCCCTTAGGTGCTAGACTGAATCCTGGTCCTGACACTTGCTAGTTACGTGAGTAGGTAACTTGGCTTCTCTGTTTTCCCTTGGTGAAATGGAGATATTAATAGTATCTACTGCATAGGGCTTTTATGAGGATTAAATGGGATAACACATAAAATGTAGAAGAGTGCCTGGGACACAGGAAGTGCTCAAAATGTGTGGACTTAAGTGGGAACAATGTGATGGAAACAGTGTCTACCTCAGGCGTCCTGCACCTGCTGCATGTGCTCAGATAACCCCACATTGTAACTAGAGGAGGATTGCCGGCCCCTTCATCCTTTTTCCCTGTTGAGGTAGGATGGTCTTTATAAATGTAGCCACGAGTCCCTCTGAAGGGTCCGTCAATATGGGGAAGGAAGCCTGACTGGGGGCTGGTTTCTGGAGATCAGCCCTCACGGTGAACAGAGACCCAGGACTGGGCGAGGGAATGAGATCGGCTGTCTTACGACAGATGTGACCAGGCGCCCTCTCCTGATCAAGGGCAGGAATAGCTCCGGCCCAGAGTTTCGGGGGTGGGCCCCACGGGATCTCACTCCTTGTTATATGCTCTTCCCTTTGCTGAAATGCCCCGATTGGGTTCTGGGGAGTAAAGTTTAGGGGAGGGGCGCCGAGGCTGGGGCCAAACTGCTTTAGTGTTTTAAAAGGGCGAAGCTGGATAATTCTTCTAGATTGGGGTGGGAGGTGGATAGACACCGGGGTCAGGAAATGAGAGAATTCGGGGCCGTCCTGAATTAACTGTATGTTCTTTCAACAGGTGATGGAACGCTGCTGAGAGGTAAGGTGACAAGGTGGCTTATCCAACGTGTCAAACCCAGTTGTCCGGGGCTCTTCCGGCTGCCCCCACGCAGCCGGAATTAGTGGGGCAGACCAGGACTGGATCGGCATGGCATGAAGGGACGCCAGATTAAGGGGGACCGCTCTGGGTCCTGGGCCGCAGAAGCGGGGAGGGGCCAGCAGAGCAATTGGGCGCAGTTTCCTTGCAAAGTTCCGCCTCGAGCGCGCCGGCCCCGCCCCCGCCGTTCCCGCTCCGCCCCGCCCCCCGCCGCTCGCCCCCCGGGCAGGGGCTGGGTTTCCCCCGGGTGCTCCCGGCTCCCGGCCTGCGCCGGCGCGGCCTCTTCGCCGCCGCACCCTGGGTGAGTATGGGGATTGGTGTTTGGGGCTGCCCGGCAGCCCCACTTGGGGGAGCTCGGTCACGCGGTCTGGCTTCCGCAGGGCCGGGCCACAGGCTGTGGGGGTCCCGCAGCCTGCCCAGGAACCGCTGCTCTCCTCTTCTGGCTGGCTGAGCTGACCCCTTTCCCCTCTGCTCCCCGACCTGGGCCCGATGTGCCGATGTGCCGATGTGCCAGAGTGAGCTCTCCCCGCTTCACTCCGCAGCGACTCCTGGTCCAGATTCTACCAGGAGGGAGGTGCGGGGGGCTTTGCAACCCCATAGATGAGTTTCAAATCCCAGCTCTGCCAGTCATTAGCCTATGACCTTGAGCGAGTGTTAACCTCCTTGAGCCTCACTTTCTTCTTCTGTAAAATGGAAATATACAGGCTATAGTGTCTACCTCGTAGAGTTATCTAGTGAGGATTGAAAGAAACAATGTATATCTAGTGCTGAGCAGGGTGCCTAGTATTCATCCAATAAATGTAGATTTTGGACTGGAGCCTGAAAAGGTGTTTGAGGATCTCTGGAAATAAACTAGGGATATTGCTGAGAAAACAGTTTTCAATGAAGTGGTACCTGTGTAGAAGACAGAGTTGACTGGGGCTGAACAGCTGCCCTTCAGATAGTGAGCTCCCTATCCTGAGGCCTGGGAGAGTAGAATGACCCAGTTGGTAGGGACTTTTTAGTAATCCAGATCACAGGCCCCGAGTGGTTAGGTGACTTGCCCAAGGTCACACAGCTAAAAGGGAGGTTAGGTATCCCTCCAGGAAGTGGAACAGACTATTCCTGAAACCTTATCTTCCACTGCCTTAGGCACTGCCTATTCATTCCCTGAGGATCTGCTCTTCAGTTTGGGGGTCCCAGTGATTCCTGAGTGATCCAGAGCAGCTCACTTCAGGAAGGGATGTTGGAAAGGGGCACTCGTACAATTACAACCACAGAATCTGGATTTGGGCTGGGTGGGGAAGGCCTTTGGGGATGATCCAAACAATGTCAGAATGTGCTTGATTGGGAGGGCCACCAGAGCCACTTCCACCACTCTCTGGCAAGTGTCTGGCCCTCCGGAAGTACTAGAGCTTGAGCAGTTGGGGCAGGCTGCCTGACAGCCTGGCAGAGAGGTGGGTGGAGGAAGATGGATGAGAGGCATATCCACCTGGCATTTTCTGGATTCCGGGAGGAGGCTGGCCTCCAGGAGGTCAGGGTTCTTCCTGAGGGCGGGGCCAGGCAGAGCTGGGGCTTGAACTCCAGGCCAGGCCCTGGAGTCCAGAAGGGCGGGCTCTTTGTGTATCTGAGTCAGCCATAGTTTGGCAACTGGATGCGTAAGTTCTGAGGACGGCTTTCCCTCAGGCTCAGCATGTGGTTTTGAGAAAGGACCTTCCTCTCTCTGTGTCTTGGTTTCTCTGTCTTTAAAATGGGAACAGGGCTAACTCATCTATATAGGACTTGTTTTTTTAGCTTTTTTCCTCCTAGGGACAGTTTCCCCTTCTCTTCCCCCTGCTAACCTGACCCTTCTGCCCAGAACTCTGGCCCAGGGAGGAGGGGGTCAAGGAAGGCCAGAGTGCAGTGTGTGATGTTGAGCGCCATGTCTCCTCTCTGCTAGCTCTTCCTTCTATTTGCTGTGTGGCCCTGAGCAGGGTCCTGCCAGTCTCTTGGCCTCAATGTCCTCTTCTATGCCCTGGGGTTGGGGCTGGACTAGGATTGCTGGTGTATATTTGGCTGGTAGTATAAGGCCTGACCCTAGATATCCTCATCTCATTGGAGGTGGGCAGACCTCAGACCTCACCTGGTTCCTGGAGGAGAGTGGACAGGCCCTTGGGGACTGGGAAGCCTCCAGAAGCTGACCAGGCAGCTCTCTTCAGCAAATAGCAAGCCTAGGCTAGCACCAGGCCTGATGCTGCAAAGCCTTTCAGTCTCAAAACACGTGAGGCAAGCGGGTGGGGACAGGCAGGGGGTTGGTGTTCTGCTGGCTTCCATGGAGTCCTTGCCACTGTGGACTGCGGTGCAGGCACACAGAGCCCACAGAGCCCGGGAAGGGACTGAAGGTGCAGAAAGGCCCTGAGCCGATGGATGAGGCAGAGAGAGCCGACGGGAGGCCCTGACACATGGAGGCTGCAAGGTCTGGGGGAGGAGATGGGCCATTCTGACCACTGGGACGTTTTAGGATTGGTTCCTGAAACAAGAGAGACTAGTTCAACCAGCTTCTGTCAAGCCAGGCATGGGGATGAGAAGTTTTCCCGACTTACTCAAGCTTCATCTTGGCATAGATTTGGTTCATTCTTTCCTCTGAAATGGAGGGTGAATGTACTCGTGGGAGTCTGAGTCCATCTTCCTTGTCCTGGGCAGTAGCTGCTTAAGCTTAGGGGCTCGGTGGCTTCCCTCTCAGATTCCCCCCACCCCACAGCTAAGCTGAGGACCGAGCACAAGGGCTGGCTTCCCCACTGAGTACCAGCCTCACTACCTTGGGCCCTGACAGCACACCACTCCATCCCCAGGTCTGACAAGATGTACCAGGTCCCACTGCCGCTGGACCGGGATGGGACCCTGGTCCGGCTCCGCTTCACCCTGGTGGCCCTGGTCACAGTCTGCTGTCCACTTGTCGCCTTCCTCTTCTGCGTCCTCTGGTCCCTGCTCTTCCACTTCAAGGAGACTACGGCCACACACTGTGGGGTAGGGTTTGTTGAGGGGCGGGGGCGGGCATTGATACCTTGTATTCAGGCCTAATCAGGTTTGTTTTGAATCCTGAATCTCTTGTAACAGACTTAGCCATCACACGTTACTGGGCTGCTGGGGGGGGGGGGGGGGCGGTGCCTGCAAATGGAGGTCCCAAGGACTAGTCTCCCTCCACCTTTCATGGAGGTCATTGGGGGTCAGGGTCCCTAAAGTTGGGCAGCTTCAGAATCCGGAACCCAATCCTTACTTCACAGAGGGGCAGATTCAGCAGCCCCAGGGTTTTCTGGAGGGTAGAGAATAAGACTGGGCTAGAGGGCAATTGGGGCTTCTTAGTGTGCCCTGTTGTGGGCTGTGCCTGTCTCCATGGGAATATGATTATGTAAGTGTGTGTGTGTACTTTGAGGGACATGACTATAATGGCTTTGATTGGGGTCTGTGTGTGAGAGAGACTATATCTGTGCCTGTCTGACTGGAGACCTGATTATATGTGTGTACATTTGTTTTCTGGGGTAAGTCCCATGACCTCTGAGGTTCCCTAGGTGGCCATATACCCTCTTGGATAGGGATATGGGATGTTGAGCTAGGAAGAAAGATGTGAGTTCTTTCTCTGTAGATTATTAGAGTAAATGGGGTAAGACTCTGTGAACCTTTATTATCTTCCTAGTTCATCCGCTGATTCTTATTACTTGAGACTCAGGGACAGCCTCACTTTCCTCATGTCTAAAACAGGGTTGAGAATTCCTGTTCTCTTCCTTCTCAGGGTTAGTGTAGAACTCCAGGTAGAGGAGATGGGAAGATGGTTTGGGAAATGTGAAGCATGAGGAGCAGAAGGAGGAAGAGGAAAAGGAGATTGTCAAGTTGGAAGACAGGGTAGGAAAGAAAGTTAGCCAAGGGTCTTTAAGTGGGAAAGAGGACATGAACCCCTGGACTAGCCTCATAGAGAGCTCAGAAGGCCCCCAAATAGCTGAATTTCCCACCTTCATATAAAGAGCATCTGCTCGAGAATATGGGATACAGCCACGACTGGGATCTGACTGGCAGGCGTGAGGGCCCACTTCATTTGTTCATATGACTTGAAGTTTTTCTTCTTGATTTGTCCGTGGGTGGATGTGGGCCTTGAGTTGGCAGCCAGTCTGGTGAGACTTAGAACTCGGAGCCATCAGAAAGAACAGGACTGGAAGAAAAAGGGATGAGCAGTTGATCTGAAGCAGAGGATCAGAAAGGATCCATCCAACAGCCTCTCCTGACCTGGTTCTCACCTTAGATAATGCATCCAATATTCCTTTACCTTGGCCAACTCCTCTTCATCTTCAAAACCCTTCTCAGGTGTCTTCTCTTTCAGATAGGGTTCTCTAGCCTCCATGGGGCAAGCTTAATCACTCCTTCCTCTGAGTGCTCATACAACTGGTGTTCTCTTATACAGTCCTGTCACACTATGTGTGTCTCTCTTTCCTACTAGGCTGTGAGCTCCTTGAGGGTGGGCACTGCGTCTGAATCAGAAAGTATTTGTTGAACAAATGGATAGGACACCTGCCTCCCACACCGTCACACAGCAGCCCATTGCCCTGGGAAAAGGATGGCATGATATAATGCAGTCATAGTCCATACAGAAAATTATAATATTTGTATGGCATATGGAGTTAGACGGAATAGGCTCTTTGCTCTGGCCCTTGTGGCGGGCTCCAAGGGATAATGGGATCAATAACCTCAGCATACTTATAACCCATTCTCAGCATACTCCTTGGGGAGCTAAGGCATAGGTAGCTGCTGGAAGGGTACTTGGCCTCTCTTGGGCAGGACTAGGCCTTGGGACCCCAGGAGTATTTTGTCCCTACTCCCTGGGAGTACTGTGATGGATCCACGTGGAGATTTTCATATATGATCTGGATTTCTCACCCAGATACTAAAGAAGTATCTTTAGTCTGTAATGAGATGATTTTGCCTCTGCTTACACATCCCCAGTGATGGGGGTGCTTCTCTCCTTTCCAGGCAGCCGATTCCAAGGAGACTTAGTAACAAACAATTAGCAAGCTCTTTCTTACAGTGAGCACACGCTCTCTTTCTGGTGGGTGTCTGTCCTAGCTCTGGCTCTACTTTGAGACCCTCAGAGCTACTTTTTCCACCTGGCTTCCAGATAGCCCTGCAGAGATGGGAAGTAATGCAGGGTCCCTTGAGTTTTCTCTCCTTAGGTAGCATGGTTCCAAGTCCGTCAGGCAATCCTTACAAGACATATGCTCCTGGGCTTGGCCCAGTTGATCACTGTTCTCTTCGAGGCCCTGATCTGGGCACAGGACTTCCTATGGCCTGGGCAGTACAGCCCAAAACAGGACTGTTCTATTCCTGCTACTGGAGGTTAGACCTCTGTGAATGCAGTCTGCCCTGCCACTAGCTGTTTCTGCACAGGTGCAGGCTGGACACTGACACCTCATGTTCAGCCCCATCCAGATCCCTTTTGGACCCTGAATCTATTGTTTAAGATTAGTTAGCTCTCTGATGGGGCCCAGCAGACATATTCAGTCCTGCTTCAACACAAAGGGGCTAAATCCCATTCTGCTTTCTCCCTTTCCCTTCCCAGAAACCTGCTTACATCTCTGGACCCAACCCTCAGAAAAGTCCCCACCCCCATCTCTGGCAAAGGAATCGGCTGTGGGCTGACCTTGGCCACTATCACTTCTTACCTTTGCAGAGTGTTCTGGGATTTATGACATGGCCTTGTTGGTCCTGGGAAGGCTGTGTGCTTCAGCAGGCGTGGAGATCTGGGCACTGTGGGCGGGAGGCAGGCCCTAGGGAACTGGGGGTGGGACCCTGAAGTCTTACAGCAGTCTCAGTCTGGCTAGAGCCCTCAACCCAAGCCCCGGATCCTTCAGCACCCAGTGTGAGTGTCGCTTCGTGCGCCTACCCCCACCCCAGTTCCCTGAAACTGAGCTGGACTAGTGTGAACTGGGGTTCCCTTAATGGAGGGAAGTCTGGTTCCCATGGGGAGATTTGGTTCTAGGCTTTTTAATCCAAAGCCATCTCCATCTGCCTCTCAGAAGGAAGCCCAGCTTGAAGGGTCATGATGGTCAAGGGGAGTGGGGGAGGGCATTCTCTGTCCGGGGGAGAAGAGAGCAGAAAAAACCCACCCCCTCAGTCTGGGTCTCTGTTTCCTGGGTCTGGCCCAGCACAGCAGGCTCAACCTGAGCAAAGAAGAATCCCATGACCCTCAGGTTTCTGAAAACCTGGAATTGGGTGACATGGTCTTCTCAGAGAGGAAGGAGATAGAACTCTGGGCCACCAGAGGGACCCTGGTATCTTGGGGGTCAGGGTACTGCTGGCCTGAGGCTTGGATCATTCTGAGCCTGGGGGTGGGATGGCTGATAGCCTGTGGTCCCATTGAATAGGTTCTGGGCCCTCCCATTGTTCCTAGTTGAACTTGGGTGAAGAGCAGGAATGTGGTCAGACAGGGTCAGTAGGAGAGCTTGGGCCACTCGGATCCAAGGGTCCTTTGTCTGGGTTACTTGGCCTGAAGAAGGCCTTGCTTGGAGACTTAAGCTGTCAGGTGGCAAGAGGCCTTAGTCCTAATGTTTGATCCTTGCATAGTTCTGGGCCTTGGTCTTCCCTTCTCTGATTTGGGAATAATAATTCTTCATCCTCTGACCCTTTTCCTGAGTGGTTATGAGGGTCATGGGAATGACACAGGCCATCAGAACTCCCATGTCCAGGCCACTGGGAGCCTTGATTCTCCAGACTCTTCCAGAGGTGAACCTACAAGACCAATGTACCAAGGGGATTCCTATGAGCTGACCCTGCCTCTCTCTACTGTCCTGTCCCTTCTGCCTTGTACCTCCTCTTCTGCACTTTTCTTTTTCCCTTATGCCCTTCCTACTCTTTCTACTCTGCCTCTTCCCTGCCCTCTGAGGACCTGGCTGTAGAAAATGCCCCACCCTCCTAGGCCCAGGTGTCCCCACCAGGCCCCAAGTTGTGTCTGTTACTCTGCCTGAGCACCACTCCCTACAGGATGTTCTCTGCGGCCTCCCAGCCCTTGGACCCCGATGGGCCCGTGTTCCGGCTCCGCTTCAAAGCCATGGTCTCATGGGTCATCACTTTCCCTGTGTTCGGCTTCTTCTTCTGCATCATCTGGTCTCTGGTGTTCCACTTTGAGTACACAGTGGCCACTGACTGTGGGGTGAGTGCCAGACTCCCCAGCGCCTGGGTCAGGGCCAGTTCAAGAGATGGCGATAAGGGTAGAATGTCAGAGTCAGAGAGAAGGCAGAGGGTGAGAGGGGAGGGGGTTGTGTTTTGGGGAGAGAGAGTTGAGAAAAGTAGAGTCACAGTCCTCCAAGAGTAGGAGAGGATTGTAGAGGGTGCAAGGTGGCAGAAGGGGAGGAGGGGGAAGGGAAGAGAAAGGGAATAGGCAGGAAGAAACCTCGAGAGGGAGAAGAGAGCTGAAGAAAGACGAGACTGGAAAGGAAGCCAGGACTATGGGCTAAGATGAGGCCAGGAGTGAGGAGAAGTAACGAGTGGCTTCAGCCCAGACCAGAGGCCTGACCTGAGAAGACCCCAGCCCTGCTCTGGGTTCTTCTAGCTTGGTTTCTCCTCTGGCAGTCTCAGGCCCCACAACCTGTATCCTCAGAGCTCTGCCAGCTGGAAACCTAGAAGGAGCCCCTGCTTCTAAGAGCAGTTCACCAAGCCTTTCCTGAGGGCCCAGAGGGACGCAGGTTCTGTATCAGGGGCATGGAGTTGAACATGGACTTGCCCTTAGCATCTTATTCCTGCAAGAGACAGACTTAGGCACAGACATTCCCAGCACTGTGAGAGGAGATTCCTTCTGTGATAAAAGGAGCACAGAGATGGTGGGTTCAAAAGAAGCTCTTCACCCAGCTCAGAAATCAGAGACTTCCTTCCTGGAGTGAGGGTCGGGGTGGCAGGGGGAGGGAAGTGAGGGTCCAGTGGGGGTGGCGTGGGTGGGAATTGTTGCTGTGGGGGTGAAGAAGGATTTTCATGAATGCCAGGTTGACAACTTTGGTTTTATCCAGGGTACAATGGGGAGCTTTGGAAAGATTTTAAGCAGGAAAGGGACATGATCAGATTTGAGGTTTAGAAGACCATCTGGCTCCTGCGTGCAGAACAGATTCAAGGGCAGCAGGGCAAGTGCAGGGTACAGGGGTTTAGTTCATGGTAGAGGATTTTCCAGAGCTGAGATGGGGACTGTGAGATTAGAGAAGAGGGGATGGAGTTCAGAGAAGAGGAGCAGGTGGTTCTGATAGGAACGGGAGCTGTGAACATCTAGTGCTTAATACTCTGCGTTGTCATAGGAATAGGAGTTTTTATCCAGTTGGCAAGGGATGGGGAAGAGGATGGGTGGTAGGAAATAAAGAAAAGTCATCCATAAAAATCAGGGGACTTTTATCTGAGGCCAAAAGAATGAATCTCTAATGGTGAAACATGAGATGCTATGTTAAGGAAGCATGAGATGCTATGATAAGGAAGTTTTTGGACCCCCTCCCTTTATACCATGTGAATTTCTAATCTGCTACCCTGCCATAGATCCACTGAGTCATGTCCTCCAGGCCAAAGTGTTTCTACTCTTGGGGAAAGGAATCATGCTCACACCTCTCAATACCCTTAGCTCTGGGCTTTTTGGGGAGGGGGATTTGGGTACTGTATATCTGGGCTCTGATAGCTCCTATGTTGCTTGTTGCTGGCATTGTTGGTGAGTGGGGAATGTTAGTACTTGGGATGGCAGGGGTGAATATGAGTATCTATACCTGATTGTGTGTGTGTGTGTGTGTGTGTGTGTGTGTGAGAGAGAGAGAGAGAGAGAGAGAGAGAGTTTGAGTGAGTCGATGAAGGAGGCAGTTCTTACTCTTTGAATGCTGTTCCCACCCCTAACCTGAGAGGAGCTTGCGAGGATGGGACAAGTAGCCACAGGGCCCTAATTCTCTAATCCTCCTGAGGCATCCCCCCAAACTCTGTGTCTTCTCTACCCTTTACCTGTTTCCCGGCATCAGTCAGGGCTCTGGGTCCTTGAGTGCTCTGGGCTTTCCCAGCCAAGCCTTAGATGTTGGTACAGTTCTCCTTAAAGTAGCTGAGGGTGGGGCAGGAGTTTTCAGAATGAATATTCTAGGAAGTAAAGACAACACTCCCACTAACCCTACACAGGGGGCCTACCCAGAGAAGCAGGAAAGTCAAGTGAAGAGGCTTGGAGGTCTCAGAAGTGTCCAGTTCAGATATGACTCCCACCTGCCACTCAGAAGCTGGCCTTCCCATGGTCAGTAGACACATAGATCACAGCCTTTTTTGCAGGCTTTTCAGGAAAGTTTGTCTTCTGAAAGCCATTGCTTATACTCACTGCAGGTGCCTTGCATACATTATATTTAGTATTCACCGTCAACCTGCAAGGCAGGTGATATCCCTATTTTGCCAATGAGGAAGTTAAAGCTCAGAGAGGTAAAGTGACTTGCTCAAGGTCACCCAGCTAAGAAAGGCAGAGCTGAGATGCACACCCATTGCCTCCAAGCTGCCTCATCACTGAATATCAGACTGATCTTGAGCTTTGGTATCTCAAGTTGTACCTTGAGAGCATCATCCTCTCTCTGAAAGCTCTGTACTCAGCTGCCTCTGGCAGTGCTGGGGGGGGTGGGAATCCATCTCCTTTTCTGTGAAGGCTTGAGAAGGCTCTGGCTGGTCCCGCCCCAGGCCCTCCCCAGCCTCCTGAGCTGCCTCCATCATTACCTGCCTTCCTAGCCACTCTGAGGTCCATTCAGCATCCCCACTGGCGGACAGGAAGGGATCTTCCAGAACTCCATCTCTGAAGACTGGTCCTGCTGTTGTCACAGCAGGGTCATTCCCTCTCTGGGTTTCTGGGCTCTGGTACTGCTCTGGCTCTTGTTGAAGGTCTAAAAGAGTCCACAGAGAGTGTGGGCAACAGACTGGTAACTTCCATAGTCATGGAATCCTTTAGAAATGCAGATTTTCAGATTCCAGACCTTCTGCATTCTCACACAATCCCAGATGAGTTGTGTGCATATTAAAGTTTGAGGTGCACTGCTCTAGGCACTGGAGTCTAAGAGATCCTCCTCCCATTCAGGGTCTTCCTGTTCCCATCAAAACTACTGTTTACCTACCCTGCATTCTCTCACTGTCTCATATAAACAACACACCAGTCCTTGCAGTTGTGTGATATTATCTCCTCCTTCCTCAGCTTTAAAAAATGACATTCCAGTTCCTCAAGAAATGAGGAATTCCAGGCTTTGAGAAAAATGGATGAGAGATATACATAAGAACAGGGTCATTTTCTTAGACTGCACCAGGTTAGGAACACCCACTTTCTTCAGTATGATCAGAATGGGGGTATTCTTCTGGCCCAGCTCCCTTGGGATCTCCCAGCACCCTCTATCGCCTTGCTACCCCTGACCAGAAGAACGAGTGAACTGAAAGCAGTCAGGAAAGGCTCGTTGGGAAGTGAGTCCAGCTCTGTCCCTAGGAGGCTCAGATGTTTCCGTCCTTGGGACTGAATCTGGGATGCTGGGCTCATGGACCCTTCCATAGTTCCTTATCCAGGTCACAGCCCTGTGCTGTGGGCTCAGAGAACACCTGAACCTGGCTGTAGCTTTCCCAGCCATCTGTAGGGAGATGGAGACGATCCTGCTTTGCACCCACACGAACCCCAGGTTGGCTGGGGAGTCAGAACCAGGCACAGGAGGGTCTGGGACCTGGAAGGGGAGGTCTCCCTGGAGAGCTGCGGGGCCCTGAAGGAGGACTTCCTGGAAGGAGGGGAGTGGAGCAGAACCTTCTGAGTGTCAAGGTGATCATCGGAAGAGAAAGATCTCAAGGTGGGCGGGGCATCAGGGGGTCAGCGCCCAGATGGGTCACAACTCTCTAGGTGCCCAATTACCTGCCGTCGGTGAGCTCGGCCATTGGCGGAGAGGTGCCCCAGCGCTACGTGTGGCGCTTCTGCATCGGTCTGCACTCGGCGCCCCGCTTCTTGGTGGCCTTCGCCTACTGGAACCACTACCTCAGCTGCGCCTCCCCGTGTCCCGGCTACCGCCCGCTTTGCCGCCTCAACTTCGGCCTCAATGTCGTGGAGAACCTCGCACTGCTAGTGCTCACCTACGTCTCCTCTTCTGAGGACTTCAGTGGGTGTCCAGACAAGGGAAGGAGGAGCGGGGAAGGGTTCGGGGAAGGGGTGTCCTTGCCCCCTCCCTGCCCGGGATCTCCCGACGTGGGGCTTTGGGTGCTCCCTGCAGCCCGTGCTCCCAACCCCCTCTCTCCCTCCAGCCATCCATGAAAATGCTTTCATTGTGTTCATCGCCTCATCCCTCAGTCACATGCTCCTAACCTGCATCCTCTGGCGGCTGACCAAGAAGCACACAGTAAGTCAAGAGGTACGGTTTACCCCTAGTGGGGCTCCAGGCGGCCCAGAGGACAATCAAGGACACTCGTCCTCAGGATGCGGGTAACGATGAGGTGGGAACTGGAGTTCTGTGGTGGACTGGGGCTACGGCTGGACTTGGGGACGGGGAGGGTGATGGGTCAGAATCTGGGGTGGTTTGGGTAGTGTGAGGAACTGGAGAACATTTCTAGACGAGATGGAGGCTCCATCTGGGAGTAGAGGGCAGGGCAGCACCTAGGCTGTAGCAGGTTAGGAGCACTGAGTCCTGGTCTGTGGTCTGTAATCATTCCAGTCTCTCCCCACCACCACTTCTCTTCTCCCCACAGTATCTGGAGGTGTTGGGTTGGTAGATAACTCCAAGTAACTTACTCTGTCCTCCTGAAATGGGAGGGACCCACTGCCTCATTGGCCTCCTTACACCCCCAAATGCAGGGCTATGAAATGCCCATCATTCCTGCTGCCTATGCCTGTGTCCCCTTCCATGACCAAGGATGGTTAAGACTCAGCCCAGGAATTGGGGCCAAGAGGGGAGACTGTCCACACACATCTAACAAGCTGCAGAATGATCACAGAACTCATCCCTTAGGACCGCAAGTCCTACAACTGGAAACAGCGGCTCTTCATCATCAATTTCGTCTCCTTCTTCACGGCTCTGGCTGTCTACTTTCGGCACAACATGTACTGTGAGGCTGGAGGTGAGACCAGACGAGGATTCCTGGGTGGTCATAGTGACTCTGGGACGGCTATGATGCTTCCTGTGTCATGTGTGATAGGGCAGTGGTCTTGGGGGCTGCCTGCCATTGTGTTCCAGACTCTGTGTAGTGATGCGGTGGTGGTGGTAATCTAGCGAGAGGCCCCTGGAGGGTAGAGAAGGAAGCTGATCAGGCCCTGTTCCTTGTGTCCTCGCTGCAGTATACACGATTTTTGCCATCCTGGAGTACACGGTCGTCCTGACAAACATGGCGTTCCACATGACAGCGTGGTGGGACTTCGGGAACAAGGAGCTGCTCATTACTTCCCAGCCTGAGGAAAAACGGTTCTAAACCCTTCTCTCCTGCTGGGGAGGAGGCCCACTGTCCAGAAACTAGGAACAAGATACTACTCTGGCCTTCCCTCACCCTCTGTGTCCTCTCTGAGCCCTACTGAAGCTAGGGGAGAGGGGAAGGAGGAGAAAGGGCCCGGGACAAGGTTTCACCCAGCCCTGCTAGCTGCTTCTTTCCCCGACTCCATGTGTAGGCACAGTAGGCCTTCAAGTAACACCACTTGTACCTGAGAAGCCCCAAGAAGCTGAGCTGGCAGGAGAGCTCCACCATCTGGTGCTAAAAAAAGTCCTGAGGTTCGTAACCACCATCCGGTTCTTGGCCTTTACATAGCCACCTCTCGCTGAGGTCAGGGACCACGGAGCAGTGGCTGCTACCAGAAAACCACAGCCATTTCTCCCCGTGGGTCATTCACTTGACTCGTGCTAATCACCTGCTCTGCACACTCAGGCCTGTGACCACAGGCCCTTGCTAAGTTTGCCCAGGTGTCCTAGCCCTGACTTCACCTCTGATTTGGCGTGTGCCCTTCCCTAGCTGTGCCTCCCTACGTCCGTGTGGATGAAGTCGGGGTGCAGTGGGGTAGGGGGGCTGTATGATTTCCGAGGGCTCTGCCGTCCTGCTTCTCCCTGTGGAAGTGGTGTTCTGTACCTAAAGGGTGACCTCCAGAAAAAGCCCTGGCACAGCACGTATCTCCCCTTTTCTAAAATTGCTGACTTAAGACTTCCTCTTTGGCAAAGGTGCCAGGTAGAGGGGTCAGAGGCACAGATTCCTATCCTGAAACGGGCTCTCTGGTGTCACCCCCCCCTCCTGCCTTAGGCCCTGTGCTCTTTAGGTTGTACATTTTATTTCAAAGGGAAATAAATTTTTTTTTGTCAACAGTCTGGGCTAGGCTTACTTGTTTGGAGGCTCATCTCTTTGTTCAATGGAACTGAGGTGGGGAACAGGCTCCAGGACATAGGGAATAGTCTATGACCAGTATGATTCCATGTGGCATCCCTCCCCGCCCCCCCAAACACACTTAGGCCTTGGACTCTCCTACAGTCTAAGCTGATGTTGATGAGCAGGAGTGACTTTCTCTGCCGTGACTCCAGGTCTGGAAGCTGTGATACCTGGGAGAGCCTTAGGTTGAGGCAAAGTCCTGAGTGCTAGCCCCAACTCTGTCAGTAAAGATTTGTCCCCGTGGGGGTAGAAGGGGACAGGTCTCAGGTGCATGACTGTGAGAGCACCTATCTACAGGCTGATGACTCAGCTTCTCCCTTTCTAGGCCTTAGATAAGGAAGTTTTTCCTCTTGCTTTGCATCCCAAACTACTGCAGAATCTGTGGCTGGGCCCCAGGACAAGACTGGGGGCCCTCCAAGGGAGCCCAGAGCTTTGTTAGGGAAATTGGGGGGTGGGGGGACCACAATGAAGTCTATTGTCCCCTGTCCCCTCTTGCAGGAAACAAAAGGCTCCCAGTCTCTGGGGAGCCCTAGCCCATGCTTGGTCCCTGCCCAACCCCCAATGCCCAGCACACAGGGAGGAGCCAGGGCCATTGGAGACAGGAGGTTTTATTGATGCTGATGGGGGTAGGAGGGGCCCCCAGGAGCCCGGAGGGAGTGGGGGTGGGGCTGAGTCAGTCAGCGGATGCTAAGGCTTGGGCACATGAGGGTAGGTTAGGGCACATTCATCTTCTTAGGATTCTGTGGCTCCTTCTCTGGGGCAGGGAGAGCGCATCATGAGGGCGGAGCAATCGAAGAGCAGGGAGGGAGAGGTTAGGGATGGCGGAGAGCTCCTAACCTGAGAGAAGGCACCACAATAGGCAGCAACATCTGGTCAGTAGGGGCAAGTGGGGAGGGGGCACCTGGTTGGCTTCTTGGGGAGGGGCCCGTCCTTGGCCTGGGTGAGCTTTCAAGAATTCCTGGTGTTCCCAAGCAGAGTGGGGCAGGGCCCAACGCCCCTCTCCCTGTGGGCCTCCTTCAGGAGAAAAAGGCACTCGGGGAGCCCCCTTGGCAAGGGGTGCCAGAATTAGTCCTTAAGGCACAGCTGGGGGCAGACAAGGCGCCAAGGCACAAAGGCACAACTGGTTGGGGAGGGGCAGGGGCAGCCTCCAAGCTGAGTGCCAGGGTCACAAGAGGACACAGGACCGCCCACGCTTGACAGGCGTGGGGTTGAGCACAGCCCGGACAGCCTCGGCAAACACCTCCTTGACGCCGTCCTGCTGCAGGGCCGAGCACTCGAGGTAGCGCACAGCGTGGATCTGCTTGGCCAGCGCCTGGCCCTGCTGCGGCGTGATGGGCGCCTGGCCCTGCTCCTTCAGGCGCCTCAGGGTGTCAGGCTGGGCTCTCAGGTCCTTCTTGGTGCCCACCAGGAGGATGGGCACATCAGGGCAGTGGTGGCACACCTCTGGATGCCACTTGTGCCGCACATTCTCATAGGAGGGCGGGCTGGCAATGGAGAAACAGATGACAAACACGTTGGTCTGAGGGTAGGAGAGTGTGCGAAGGCGGTCGTACTCCTCCTGGCCCGCTGTGTCCCACAGGTTCAGGTTCACCGTGCGCCCGTCCACTGCACTCTGGGCGCTGTAATTGTCGAACACTGTGGGGATGTACTCCTTGGGGAAGGCATTGGTTGTGTAGCAGATGAGCAGGCATGTCTTGCCCACAGCTCCATCGCCCACCACTACACACTTGATGCTCTGCATTGTCGGTGTACCTGGAGGCTGTGCCTCCTTCCCGTTCTGGGCCCCTCTGGATGCAGCGACCTGTGGACAGAAGAGAGAGATACTCTGGGTTAGGCAGTCCTGGGAAGAAAGTATGGGGGCATACAGAAGAGAACCAGCTCCAGTTCTCTTAACCTGACACCATCCTGCAATCCCATCAAGAGAGACCACAGACAGACAGACACAAAATGGGAGACAGGTCCTGAGACCAAGCAAGGATGCTCAAGGATATGGAGGCTGGCACTAATGTGTAATATATTATGTGAAGCATGTAAGTTCTGATGCCAGACTGACTAAGGTCAAAATCTGGTTCTGTTATCTCCTAGCTTTATGACCCTGGACAAATTACTTAACTTCTCTATGTCTCATTTTCCTAATCTGTAAAATGGGGATGAAATAATACCTACTTCATTGGGTTGTTGTGAGGATTATATACATTAACACATATATAAAGCATTTAGTACAGGGTCTGGTCATAATAAGCATTCAATAAGTATTAGCTACTTTTCTTTTTCCTCCAGGAAGTACTGACACAAAAGGACGGTGCACACGTGTAGGGATCTACTCGATCCTCTATCAGCTATGCACCGCTCCCACTGAGTAGACTGGAGACAGCTTCTGGCACAGGTCAGTCTGAGATGCAGCCACGGGTGAAGCCTCCCATCTCAGGGCCCACCAGCCCTAGAGCACTGACGCTTTAATTCCAAACATGACATCTTGGCTACTGACTGCAAACCGAAATGTGTAATGAGAAACCTGTTGAGTAAGAGGCACAATTCTCTAGGCAGCTGCCCTATCTCAAACTAGGGTGCCCTGGAAATGGTGAAAAGGAGGGAGCGCTTACCCATCATTCTTAGAAGCATGGGAAACCCTATCTGGCCACACAAAGCCAGGCTGGCAACTCAGTGCAGGGGAACACTGGAGATAGAGCCAAGGCTGGGATTTGGTCTGGAATCTGGGTGTGTAATGATGAGCGAGGCAGAGGCCAGGGGTCCCAGACGTCTGCATCTTCTCTTAAGGTGGGCTAAAGCCCAGCCAAGAGGGATGAACAGAAGAATAAGACAAAAATTTGATTTTCCCCTTAATCTTCTACCCCTTTCCTGAGACCATGGCCTGTGCCTCTGAAGAAGCTGAGGGGCTGCTGGACTTTTGGGCAGAGAACACAGTGTCAGTAAGTACTATCACTGAGAAGACATGCTGGTATCAGATTGGTCAGGGATTCTAATCACAGCTCCACCAACTAGTCAAATATGATTCTCAGGCAACATATTTAAGTTTCCTAGGCCTCAAATTTTCTCATCTGTAAGATGGGGATAGAGTTGGTGAGAGTATAAAATAAGCTAACATGTAGAGAGTGTCTGGCATGAGGCGTGGCACACAGGAAGTGGCAAATAAGTCAGCTGCTGTAATTATCAGTGGGGTAAGTTTGAGAGGAGTCCCCGTTCCAACCATCACCCGGTCACGTCTGCAGCTCACAGGGCCTCGAGGTGAGGAACTGCTCTTCCGAGTTCTGGAACAGAACAGAGCTTCCGGAAACCCTGAGATTATTTATACTGCTGTGGCAAGGGTAGTCCTCTAATTGACTACTTCCTCTCAGCCACGGGGGACTTTTTCTGGCTAGTATGTTACTTCCTTTCCCTGCAGCTCTCTCACAACCAGGTCCCTGCTCCCTGGAAAGGGACAGCTCTGTGTATGACAGTATGATACACCCAGTTCTCTTCGCTATCTCCTGCTCCACCCAAGCACTATCATCCCTGGCCCATCTTCTCCATTTCACTTTATACACAGCAAAACTGTACCCTGGTCTGCCAACCCTTATCCTCCGACCTGTCTTCTCTCAACTATTGGTCCCAAAGCCTCAAAAATCAAATTTGGGAAGGCGCAGGAGGACTCCATCACTGGAAAGTAGAAAAGGAATTCTGGTGGTGTGGAACCTGCAGAGAATCCAGGGCTTAGTCCCTCCCAGCTCCCTCCCAGGCCCCAGCTTCCCCTGGGACCAGCTGAGAGGGAAGTGAGTTCATTCTATGACGCTGCCTCTCTGGTTTACAGTAAAAATATTTCCATCTTATTTGCATGAATAAATGTGTGTTCAACCTCAGGAGAGTGGATAGAGGGCCTCAAGGGTATGGGTCCAGAAAGAAGACAAGGACCCTCTAGGGCACTTGAGAATTTGGGACTGGAAGTCAACAGAACTCAGCCAAGTCCCAGTCCCAGGGCTGCTCTGCTGCCAACTCACTGCAACCAAGCAAGAGGCACTTACCCTCCCTGGGCCTCAGTTTCCCAATCTGTGAAATGGAGAGAAAAAAGCCATGCAAGGATACTAAGTGGATGAGATGAGACATTGAGGAGCCTGGGGGCAGGGGACAGGATGATGGAGATAGGAAAGACCCCTGTGAGCACAGGGTTGGGGTGGGAAGGTTGAGTCAGTCAGCAAACGCCTAAGACCTTGGCACCTGAGCCCTAGTCAGGGCACGCTCATGTTCTCAGGATTCTGTGGCTTCTTCCTTGGGGGAAAAGAGACAGCATCTTGGGGAGGGGGGTGTTGGTGCCATTCCTCGTGTCCACTGGAAGGTTGAGGAGAACCCAGCATCTCGAAGAGCAGACGCTCTCTAGGCCTGTAAATCTGTAGCTGTACACAAGGCCGGAGCATGGCTGTGACCGGGAACCCCTCCCCTCCAGCCCAGCACTGGGCTGGCCCAGGCAGGAAGGCAAGGGGGGGACTCTGGCCAACAGTCACAAGGCCCGAGAGACCAGAAGTACAGCTGGCTCCACACAGCTTTCTAGGGAGGGGTTATCAACCAGCAATTAGTAAATCAGCCCTCAAAGGAGCGAGGAGGGAGCAGGAAGCTTCCGGGCTGGGGAGGGAACAGGGACTGACACCGGAAAAGGATCACGAGGGAGGCAGTGTCCAGAAACAGGCAGGGCAGAGGCAGTACAACATAGGGCCAAGGGCACCAGATCCCTGACTCTGACCTGGGATCACCTGCTGACTCTACCCCTTGATTAAAGCCCTCCATGGTACAACCCTTTACAGATCACATGGTATTACATTTTTTCATCCTTCTAACAACTCATTGGTACTATTCATATTTACAGATGAGGAAACAAACCCAGAGCAGTTAAAATAACTCAACATCACACAGCTAGTCAGCGCAGGACTCAACATAGACCCCATTTTTTTTTTTA